CACAACACCCAATGCAAGTGTGTGTGGGTGTTCTTGTGCTGCGGGTGAGCCTCATCTGCTTCAGTGAGGCCGTGGACTGCAGATGATGCCTGTACTATTCTGCTTACTATCATCCCCAGAGTCTGCCAAGAAAGGGAGTTCAGTGACTTGTTTCTTTAAGGGACTTACACTTTGCTTCTTGCTTCCCAGGCAGAGGACCTAAAGCAGAAGCTCCTGCATAAGCACTGTTGGGGACCCTAGAGCACAGAGGTGACAGGCTCTGGCCAAGTTCTCAGCTGCTGTGGGCCCAGGACCATTCTCTGGTGCTATCGCTTCACTGAATGGGATTCCTGCCTGGAGCTGCCCATGAATGCATCAGACCCAGCCTCTGCAGGTGCAGCGCTGGGTGGTGACACTGCAATCTCTGGGCCTGGATAGCAGGTGTACAGGAGGAGCCTGGTGCCCAGCACAGACTGCACATCTGTTGCTAAGCCACATTGACTTGCTGGGCTGCGTTTTCTTCTACCACCAAAAGATGTTGCTCTGGGAGCAGAAAGCTGTTTCAGTTCCCACTCCTGAGCTTGGAGTCTGCCAGCTGAGTCTGGGTTCTAACAGTCCCAGTTGTCAAAGGGCAGCGAAAGTGCTCTTCTTGATACTGTTGTGGTGGTTACATTCCACTCCTGGGTATAGAGCCAGGAAACCCAGATGTCCAAAAAAGGCATGTGAAAGAATACTTATGGCAGCTTTGTTTATAGTTGTAAATGGTTATAGCATAGAAACAACAAAGCTTGCCAACAGGAAGATGGATAAACAAATTGATTTACAGTAGAACACAATGAAATTGAATGTTATTACTGAAAAAAATACAAAAAGCTTCATTGAATCTCCCAAATATACTGAGAAAACAAAACAGCATATTTTATTCATCCAGATTTATGGAATTTTAGAGCTGACAAAATACTTTGCTTATAAAAATCACATCCTTCTCCCATAGGATGAAGGAACATGGAATAATATACTTTGATGAAAATGTTTATTACAGATTGGCATGATACTTACAGGTTATATACATTTGTCAAAATCACTGAACTGTACTCTGAAACTATGTGCATTTTAGTAGTTATAAACTATATCTCAATAATATCTGTCACTAATGATAATAGTTTGGGGGCAGTCAAATAGCATTGTATCAGAAAGTTATTAGAAAATGAAATACTTTTCACCATGAAAATTCAGAGTAGGCTGGGCTCTACTCAGAGTTGACTCAGTGACTCAGCAATGCACTTAGTAAGACAGGTCCTTCCCATAGCCCTCCTCTGCCATCCATGGTACTGCTGTTATTCTACGGGCATTTTCAGAGTAACTATCACTAGCAAGCCACATTACATCTCTCTGTTCATGTTCATTTAGACAGAGAGAGTCACTCTGATTCCTCTGAGAACAGGAAGTGATTTATGGCGGGACTCACAGTTCATGATATTCCTAAACTATCCAGGAGTGGGACTGTGCTGATTGCCTTGGATTAATCCATATCTATTCACAAAGCTGAGTGTGAGAGCAACATCCCAAGTCACTTTGGCTTGATGAAGGACACTGACTTTAAACGATGTTGAAGCTTTCTTTGTGGGGAAGAGGAGATGAGTAGGCAACGTACACCATAGTCCTCAATAGTGGTTTCTTATTGCAAAACTTCACTTGCAATAATTTTAACTGTTGCTGAGCACTTCACTGTGTGTTCACAGTATTTCATCACACACTCAGATGGAACAATTGGCTTAATGTACTTGAATTGTGTCTACCACTCTTCTGTCCCTGAGTTGTTGAGTTCCTCTCCAATACAGTGTGTATAGTTGATGACTTCCATGTAGGTAAAGAATGAACTATTAATCTATGTGTCAGAACTAGGTCATCTAAACAACATTAACATCAAGTGGGCCCTGAAATGTGTCAGTATATTTACACCTTTAGAAAAATCATGGAGGTTGATCATTGTAATTTCAGTGGGCAAAAATATTTTTCCTAATACTGGACATTCCACAAAGTTTCTTTCTCCTCTTCGAATTACTCATAAAAGACTGGCCAGAGGTTCTTTCTTCATATAGACCATGTGTTACAAGAGAAAACACATCCAAGAAGAGCAACATATAAAGTACCTTTGCTGATCACAATGGTACAAAAGTAGAACTCAATAACAGGGAAAAACTGAAAAATTCAGAAATAAGTGGAAATTAAACAAAAACATACCAAAACACTAATGAGTCAAAGAAGAAATCAAAAGGAAAACTAAAAATTATCATGAAACAAAGAAAAATAGAAACACAAGAAAATAAAACTTATTGGATACAGCAAAAGCAGTTCAAAATGAATATTTACAGCTAAAAGTGTGTACATGAAGTAAAAGACCCCCAATAAACACCCTACTAGATAAAGAAAAGTAAGTCCAAGTTTACTGTAAGGAAAAAGTAAAGATTACAGGAGAAATAAATAACAGTCTATAAGGAACTTGAAGAATAACAAAATAATGCCAATGTAGCACAAAGGAAAGAATAAAGATAGAATTGAAATAAATAAAAGACTAAAAGGATCAAAAATATAAATAAAACTAGGTGTTGGATTTCTCAATAGGTAAACAAATTAATGAACTTTTAAATAGACTAATAAAGGAAAAAGAGGAACAGAACTCTATTAAATAAATTCCAAGTTAAAAGGAGCCGTAATAACAGATACCATAAAATTCAAAATAATCATAAGTAATTATGATGACAATTTTGTAGCAACATTGAATAACCCAAAGGAACTCTATTGGCACCTAGAAATGCAGAATTTATTAAGAAAGAATAATGAAGAATAAAAACTCTGAACAAACTAATAATGTACAAGAATATCAAATTAGTAAATAAACAACCATCAGAAAAGCTAAAACACAAAAGGCTTCACTAACATCAAAACACATCTTTGAAAAAGAATTAATAGTACACAATATAAAAGCAAATGAAAATTTCACACCAGTATCGCTGATGAAAGTAGATGCAAAAATACTCAACAAAATACCAGCAAACTGGTTTCAACAGCAAACTAAAAGGTTCACACACCATGGCCAGGTGACATTCATCACTGGGATAGAAGAATGAATAACATATTGTTATGGTTTGTGTCTGGGTGTCCCCCAAAAGCCTCATGCGGCCATGGGGCAGGCTTTTAGAGTTTGATTATGGGTGTGAGAGCTACACCCATCCTGGGGTGGATAGTTTGCATATGTAAGGGAGAGGAAGAGGGTGCTTGAGGCCATTCCACCCTGGTGTGTGCTTGTTGCTTTGCTGTGTTCTGCACCAGGAGCTGTAGCCCTCTGCCATGTGCCAGTCTGCCTTGTAATCTGCCAAGTATGGACTGAAACCTCCACAAACTGTAAGTGAAATAAACCTTTCCTTCCTTCATTTTGGGCGTCAAGTATTTTGTCCCAGCAACAAGAGAAAAGTAACCGAGACACATATAGAAATCAAAGAGTGAAATATATCAACAGGAAGAGAGAGAAAATTACATAGATTGAAGCATTTGAACAAGATAGAGCATTTGTGGATTATTTATATGGTACATTTTAACTACACTGAATAATGAGTTTCCTCGTGAGAACTTCATGCATGCACACAACTTATTTGCATAATGTCCTCTCTGTCATCACCAACATCCCTAATCCTTCCCTTCCCATCTCCCAGAAGCCCACTTTCCTAACAGTCTTCATTATAAATATCATTTGTAAGTGGTAAATCATTATAAATATCATTTGTAAACCTGAACATGCATCTATGACTAAAAACTCTCAACAAAGTAAATGTAGATGAATTTGCCCTGACATACAAAGACTATAGAACTAAAGCTCACAGTTAACATCAGACTCAGCTTGGAATCTTTCCTCTCAGATCAAGACTAAGAGTGCCCACTCCACTACTTTTATTCAGTGTACTACTCAAGGACCTAAGTGGAGAGATTAGACAAGAAAAACAATTTAAAGTCCTCCAAATTGGAAAGGAAAAAGAGAACTATGTTTGAAGATGATGTGATCTTATAGAGAAAATCTTACAGACTATATATAAACACACACACACATGCACACAAATGCTATTAGATCTAATAAATGAATTCAGTTACCATTCATAAGCATGGTAACTAATTTTTTATAAGTGGAATAGTTGACCACTTACCTAAAATTCTATGGATACCCCTTACACAACTTTGTGATACAAAGTGAATACTAAAAAGTTGGTCACATTTTTGTACACTAATTATGAACCATCTGAAAATGAAATTGATGAAATAATCCCATTTCCAATTGTTAAACAAAATGAAGTACTTAAGGACAAAGTAAACAAAAGAGATGACCATCTGTATACTGAAAATTGTAAAAACACTGATTATAAAAGTAAGGCCACCATTACTCTGGACCCTGAAATATGACCTAATAACCTCCCACTTAAAAGATTTTACTTTTTAAAGGTCCCAACACCAAACTGAGGATCAGGCCTTCAAAACATGAAAGTTTGAAGGAACAAATCACATTCATCCATAAAAAACACCATGAAATACCACCTCACATGTCTTAGAATGATATCAAAAGACGGGGGTGGACAAATGTTTGCAAAGATGTGAATAAAAAGGCATCTCTGTGATCTATGGGTGAGAAAGAAAACTAGTACAGCTGATATGCAAAACTATTCAGAGGCTCCTCAAAAAATGCAAATAGACTACCATAGATCTAGTAGCCCCACTTCTAGAAATATGTAAAAATATATACAGTCACTTTCTAGAGAATGCTAGCCTTCCATGTTCATGGCAGTATTATTAGCAATAGGGAAGACACGAACACAAAGTGTCTGTTGATGACGGGATGGATAAAGGAAATGCACACACATGAGCACATATATATTGGGATGTTGTTTCACTCAAGAAATAGATGTCTTCTCATTTGCAGCAACATGGGTAAATTTGTAGGACATCATTCCTACTGAAATAAGTCAGCCAAAGAATAATAGATACCATACGGTCATATTTATTTGTAGAATCTAAAAAGTCAACCTCCTAGAAAAAGAGTAGAATGGTGGTTAAAATGGAATAGAAGTGAGAAAATAGTGAGATATGTGCGAGTTAAACAATGAATTTTGTAGGTACCTGCTATCACAGGGAGGGGACAATGGCTAACAGTATTACATTTGAAAGTCAAACTTGCTTATGGAGATCCCAAACATTTTTAGTAAGACAAAATAGTTAACTATAGTAGGTAATAAAAAACTTGATTGTAGTAATTATTTCATAGTATATATGTATATCAAGTAAGCATTGTGTTGCTCAAAATATACAGTTCAGAGTTGATAATTATACATTAATAAAGGTAAAGGGTAAAAAGAAGAAATAAGTGGAAGACCTGTATCATAGAATTATGTCACTAAATACACTTTACCAATTAGAAAGTTTTGTGCCTTCTATGTGTGAACAAGTAAAGTCTCTAGTGTAGTCTGTGGAACATGCAAAATGCTCAGTAAATGATTGATTTTGAATGTGTGCATAAGTAAATAAACACATAAGCATGGTAACTAATTTTTTATAAGTGGAATAGTTGACCACTTACCTAAAAACTCTATGGACATCCCTTACACATAATGAAAACATTGTTAGCTATCTGTATAATGATGGATGTCAATTGAGGCACGTACACAGGGAGAATGTTTGACTCATAAATAGATATTCACCATTTCACAAACTGACCCTTGAAGCAATTCACAACGAGCATCATTCCAGCCCCACTGTTGCAATAATGGACGATAATTTAACATAACACAATGTTCATCCTTATCACTGGGCTCATTAGGATGCCAGAATCTGAAAGAGAAAAACCCAGTCATGAATCCAGTAGTGCTATGAAAAGGGTTAGGGACAGTAAAGGAACTGGGGTTGGACTTTGTGGGAGTCAGAGTAATTTACACCCAAATCAGCCCTCCCAATTGCATATGCAGCTTCTCCTCCACCAGCATCTCAGCACTTCCTTTGGAAACTGTGCCCATACCTGTGCCTACTTTGTTGCATTAAAAGCTCCACACCCTGCAGATATCCCAGAGGCTCTCTTCCATCTGTTTATCCTTATGTTCTGTTTCCCGGGGACTGTCAGTCACTGTCAGTCACTGGGGCATATTTATATGATGTAAGGATTTAACCCTAAGCCCTTGTATCACACTGTTTTTCTTTTCTTTAGCATAATGATTGTGGAGTCTGAAGTTGTGTCAGATCTCAGAATTATCTACTGATTCCTATTTCCTTGGACTAGTAAGATCTAAACCTATACTTACGTGGCACTTTCGTTGTATGGTGTCTGATCAACCCATTGCCAATGTCTCTGACCTTGTGGATCTGACAGCCCCACATAGTAAGCAGTTTTAATGTTCATATTCTCAGTTATGAAATCCTAAGAACAGAACACAACAGGAAGCCTTACAATACTCACCCAGAATTGAGTAATTTTGTTTTTCAAAAAAATTTGTACTTATTTTCAAAACTTTTCAATTATTTGTGTACTTGTAAAAATTGATGGGATACAGTGTGACAATACATATACACTTTGTATAGTGATCAGGTCAGGTAGTTAACATTGCCTTCTACCTAAACATTTTCTTAAATTTTGATTGACATTTAACTATATATTTTGGGCATATTGTGATATTTGAAATGAGTTTTATTGGCCATACAAAATGAGAAACAAGGAAAAGGAACAAGGGATGGCCACATAGGGCTACCTAGAAACTCAAGTCCCTGGAAGAACTGGCAGCATTATATAAATCACTTATAAGCCTGATTCTCATTTCATATGGAAGCAATGTCCATGTATGATCACAGTGAACTCTCATTTCAGAGTTTCTTCTCCTATCTTATCACTAGGTGAACATGGTATTCTTTAAAATTATATGTGAAAAGATATTTGCAGATTTAATCATTTTTCTTTAGCTATAACTTAAGAGATACTTTGAATTTCTGGTTGATAATTTAGTTTTATTCCTTATACACCTTCATACTCTTCTCTGTTAGCAGTTCACAATGTATACACACTGAATTAACAAACTGACACTTCAGGGAAGAAATACAGAGTCTGCCAAAAAAATGTGTATCTACTTCAGGGAGAGAAATACTATGAATTTTTTTTCAACTGATGGTGTCACCCTGGTAGGGGGGACCCTAGAAGATGTCATATATCCCAGAAAATACACTACACTGCTGACCTTTAGAGAAGTTGAGCTTCATGTGCAGCAAACTCAGCGACCAAGTTTACCCATGCAACAGTTCACAGTACTAATCAATGGCTGGAATCCAATGGCCACCACTCTAGCACCTCTTGTAATTGTAGAGGTCAAAGGTAACTTGTATTAATCTCATGATGTCTTGATGAGTTTAGTATTAAAATATTTCCATAGAGTTTTCTTTTCCTGAAGTGTATATACACCTTTTGGTGGATTCTATATTTTTGTCCTTCCACTCAACTTGAGAAAGCGTTTAAAATCCACTATTTCCTTTGTGTTCATTATTTATACAGAAACAGAAAAAATGTATAGAATGTGAATGCTGAGGGGCTTGTCCTATGTCTTTTATTGAAATCCTTCTGCCACGGCCCCATATTTTAACCACTTACCAGTCCAAATATTTAAATACAGGATGGCGAAAAATGCTCTTTTGGTTAATTTTTATAAGATAACAAGAAATATAAGAATGACAATCTTATCAAATTTATATAAGAACTAACTGGTTATCCAGGCATGGTGGTGCAGACCTGTAATTCCAGTGCTCAGGAGGCTGAGGCAGGAGGATTGTTGCAAGTTGAAGACCAGCCTGAGCTACAAAGTGAGCTCAAAGCCAGCCTCAACTGCATAGTGAGACCCTGTCTCAAAAAGACAGGGAAAAACAAAAGAATCAACTGGTTGGGATGAAACCTAGTCCGTATGTACACAAATGTGTTTCCTGAGTCATGCTTGGGGTAAACTGTTAAGTGCTTAAAACAGTAAGTCTCCTCTTTGGCAACAAACATAGACCTTAAGCACATAAGGCTCATGTCTCCCTCGTGTCATCTCTCAGGCAGTACCTGCTCTTCCTTGCTGGTGATCACCACCAGATGAGCATCCATGCCAGAGCAGCGTTCTGCACTCTCAGCCCACGATTTTGCTCCAGTTGGATAGAAATAGCAGTAGGAGCTAAATGACGTCCAGTTCTTTGGGCAGCAGCTCCAGACTTTGTCTTCATTGGGAATAAGGACATAAATGTGCAATATAAGAAGACCACTTGAGGAAGTGTAGATTATTGAAAGTATTGAGAACTCTAAAGATAACAAAATAGAAGCTAGAACTTCCATCATCCCTAGACATAACAAACATCCCTGAGGTATGTGAGAAGTTATGTCTACCTCCTGAGGCAGTAATGGGTCAGGGTTCCTTTTTCCTGCAGAAATAGTGTTAGAGAAAGCCAAAGAAAACCTAATGCTTAAATAAACTCAGACTTGGAACATAATATAAAAATTTCCAGGCCGGAATGGAAAAAAGGTGAACATACCAAGAACCTGGAAGTTCTCAAAATTAACAAATGTCATTAACCAACATAATGAAAATATTAGAATTATGTGACAAAGATTTTAAATTAATCATGATAAAATTGCATCAAAAAGAAGGTAAGTATTTTTAAAACAGATGAAACTATAGATTCGTCAAAGAAATAGAGGGTGTAGAGAAAAACGAAATGGAAATTTTCTCATTCAAAAATGCAGTAACTTTTTAAACATTGAGTGAATAGACCCAAGAGCAGATTGACGCTGGTAGCAGAGACATAAATAAATTGTTTGACAAAACCGTAGAAATCACCCAACAGAGACAAGAGACAAAAAAACAGAGTCACGTATCATAATGTTAAATGTGTATGTGCCAAACAGGGGTGTGAACTGCATTAACTAAAACCTGATGCAAGTGAAAGGAGAGTAGAAAACCCCATTATTATAAGTGGAGAAAACCAAACAGAAAATCAGCAAGAACACTTAAGAATTAAACAAAATCATCAACCAATAGAATCATGTCAATATTTTTAGAACACTCAATTACATAATATCTATTTTTATTCATGCCCAGGGAACATGTTCTAAGACCACACACTGAGGACAACAACAAAAACAAGCAAACAAACCTTAACACATTTCAAATAATTAAAATTGTATAGAAAGTATTCCTCATCCATAATTGAAGGAAACTAGAAGTGAAGAAAAGGGGGAAGATGGGAAAATTTCCACATACTTGGAACTGAACAATATAATTCTAAGCAACCCACGGATCAGAAAAGTGTCAGACAAAATTTTAAAAATACAGTTAACTGAATGAAAATGAAAATGCAAGTTATCAAAAGGTATGGGATACTATTCTTCAATAAAAAAGAGCCAATAGTTCTTAGAGAAATGCTGGATTGGAGGACTGGCACAGGAAAAATGCAATGAATCTAGAGGATTTTGTAGTACCAGATAGAACAAGCAAAACACGACACATAAAACACATAGTTGTTGAAGTCAAAGGGACACAGGATGCAAGAGAAAGAGCTCCCTATCACCACAGCTAGAACAGGATAAATGTAGTATTAAGAGGTTATAATCCAAAGTGTAAAACATATCCAAAGACACAAACCATTAAAGGATTTAGTAATTGATATAAAGGAGAAAATCCAAACACATACAATCACTTCAAATAGTTACATGAATATTGATGTCTCCTTTCACTCGCTGTTTTGGTCAAACAATCTGAATATTTCTTTCTAGGGTATTCTAGCATGCACACACACACATACAAACATGAACTTTAATTAGTGATAATATATCAATATTTGCTCACTAGCAGTGACAAATACCCTTACTCATGCACGATGCTAATAATATGAGATAATCTGTGTGCAGGGTGGCATTAAAATTGGAACTTTTTGTGTCATACACTCAATTTTTATCAATATAAAATTTATTTTATCAATATAAAATTTATTATTTAAAATATGATTTTAATGGAAATAATTAATATTGTAATAAGTGAATCATTATCTTCATCAAATGTTTATAGCTAACCTATGAGAAACAACAGTGTCCATGAAAAGTTCAGAATGAAACAAAGGCTGAAGAAATCCAAAACTACAATAAACTTTACACAATCAAGTCTTGCACAGGTTAATATACACATTAAGGAACTCTAGGTCGCATATAATTGTATATTTGTAGCTTATAATGATCATGAGAATGCCTTCTTAATATGATCTATCTGGAAATCTTATTGGAGATACTGATCTGGGGGCCCTCACTATTTCCAGCAACTGAATTCTAGGCAGAGCAAATTTTACCTTTTCTAGATGAATTGCTTCTTTTACACTCTAGTTCTGTGTGCTTCTGTGTGCTTTCTTTGAGAGTCTTCTTTTCTTTAAGAAGCTGAGAATATTTTTGAAAGAAAACTAGAAAATACAATAAAAACCATTTATTTTCCCGATAGCATTATGGCTGTGTTCTCTACTGTTCCTTTCTTGCATTCTTTATAGAAACTTAAAGTAGAAATGCACAATGACTAAAGTAGACAGAGTCTGATTGGAAAAATTTTCCTATTTTCCTAGAGTCAGTAGAAAGATCGAAGTTGAAAGAGGACCTAGCAGTTCTGTCATAATGGATCTAAAGAGACTTGCTATCTTTTATTTCAACACTTAATGTAAGATGCATCCAAAGGGTAAATCTTAGGATAAGGGATTATAGGGAGACAAATACTTGCATTGAAAGATTCACAGACTGAGGAAAAGGAAACTACAATAGTAGTTCAGGAAACTACAGTTCAGGAAACTAATAGTTCAGGAAACTAGGAATTGTTCAGGAAACTACTAGTTCAGGAAAAGGAAAAATTAGCCATCTATGAGCCATTCTTGGTTACCTTAGAGAGTGGAAAAATTTAAAAATAAGAAACATTGACAAAGGACATTGTTCTTTTCCTCTTCTGTCCTTTAACTCTCCCCATGTGACCTGACTCCTACTCCTCAGTAACCCATACCTGCCTGCCTTCCCCAATTTATAGGTAACTCACCTTTCCCTCTATCAAGTGAATTTTGCCAAGTTTTCCTTATATTGAACATTGACATTTGTTCCTTGAAACACGACATTCCTGCTTTTGCTTCCACCATTCATGAAAATCTTTCTTGAAATGCATAACATCTCGGAACTGTTGGTTTATCATCAGAGCATGGGATGCCTTGCACTACAAGACCACAGCTCTCCCACTACCTAACTCTGGGCACTCTGCTCTTCGATGTTTTTTCCCCACCTTTCTCAAGCTGCTTTGTGCACTTTGAGAAGCTCTGCTTCTTCCATTTGTCTCTCTTAAAATGGAATGAAAATTCCCTAGAGTTCCATCCTCATCTTCCATTTTTGCACTAAATATTCTTGAGTGGTGCCATATATTTCTGTTGCGTTACCAGTTGCCTGTGTGTAAATGGTTTCCAACACCAGACCTCTCCTCTGAAATCTCCTGGTAAGATGTACATTTCAAAGGCAACTCAACGAGTCCAAGCCTTAAGGAATCTTCCAACCCAAAGTTGCCTCTTGTCTTATGTGGTCTACATTTTTTAACAGCTTTGTGACTGCTGAGTTTACTAAGTCAGAGTATCAGAGTCATATAACATCCCTGGGTTCTTTAATATTTATATTTAAATACTCATCAAGACTCTATGGCCTTAACTCTATCTGCTTTATCATTCAAAGCCATCTCCTTTTCTCTTTCTTCACTAATACTATCTTAGATGTTGCTTGTTCTGTGTGCTTCACAGAACAATTGGGTTATGAATGTGCCTTCTAAATTTTCTCTTTACCTCCGTTCTCAAACCTCTATAAAAGCATACTTCTACAAGCTGGCCTGGCCAGGGAAGGCAGAAATGTGGCCCCAGTTCCCCTGTCATACCAGCTGGCTGACATCCACCATAAGCCAATATATGCAGAAATCCATATGTTTGTTAGTTTGGGTTTTAGAACACATACACTCCTGAGCATGACAGAAATAATTAGATGGATATTTATCTCAGAAATCTTTCTGGAATATTTCTTCCCACCTTTTCCCTGTCCACCTGCTCATCCCAAAAGACAAGTGTCTGTCCACTCAAAATAGCCCTGGCTTTCTAAATCCTGCAAAGGAAATATAGATGTGTGCTCACACAGGGTCCGATGGAAAGAAAGAGCAAAATCCCCAGTGAATTCCCATGAATTTTATCTACCTAAAGTAAGTTTTCTCTTCACATAGCTGGATAAACCCCTTGTTGAATATGTTTCTAGTGGACACTTTCTTTTCTTTGAGGAAAAGGTGGCTTGTTAGTTCAGCTGGCATACTTACTGATAAAAGCAATACAGAATATGATGGCCAAAAGGAGGAATATCAGCAATGAGACAAGCATCTTGGGAAGAGAAAGATTACTTCTCTGAGGGGTGGGCTTCCCTTCGGGAGCTGAGGAGAAACCAAATTAGTTTCATTATAATGCATTCTGTTCTTATTTCCTCTTCCCCCTTTTCTTTTTCCCTTTTCTTGCATGACACACAATTACTAATTATGTGGAATTTTAAATAAAAAAAGAATAGGAAAGAAATAATGATATTTTTATTGAAACTGCACAAAACACATAAAACCAGGAATTTTTTCCATTGAGAAAAAGTGTTAGTACTTTTGAATATATCTTTTCAGCATAAAAAACTGCATATACACATATGTACATTTGCTTTCATAATTGACAAAATGTATACATTGATTTCTGATCTACTAATTCTCTTACACTGCCATTGTGACCATTTTTCATATTACTGTATATTCTTAACACATTAAATTTACATATTTCATTGTACCTTTAAATATATGCCAGATTATGTCCACTTTACAGCTTTGTGTGTTACAGCAGACATCTGTAATCATACTTCACATTTTTGGGTAAGGTCAGTGTGCAGTCTCCACCTTACAGTTATACCCCATTTTCTCTTGTGGGTGCCATATTTCAGGGGAGGGCACTGATCTAGCTTATAAGAGGCCCTGGGTTCTGTCCCCGGCACTGAGGGAGAAAAGCGCCAAAGAAATAGAAATCATCTTCTTAACTTATGATAGGTTGTTAAGTAGAGAAGAAAAACTCTTCAGTATTACATGGTATAATTTTATTCTTAGAAAAAATATATACATGTTCATGCGCATCTCTATGCAGAAGGGTAACAAAACAATGCACAAATCCCTGCTGCTATACAACTCCATGGTTGCTTAACATGTATCCACAAGCAGCACAATCTGCAGAGTTCTCTACGTTTCCCAGATGCGAAAAGGTCAGAGAAATGGCAACTGACCTCACCCACTGTGTTCACAGATCCCGCGCTCACCCATCACCTCATCAGTAACTCTGATAGAGACCAAAAAAAGTTTTTTTTTTACCTGCAGGATTGTCTGTGTTGGGGCCTGAGGATTCAGCTTTGAACCTCAGTTCAGCATAAGTGATTTCTGCAGCCATGTTGAGGAGAGACCTTCTGCTTTCTCCGAAAAATCGGTTTTATCCCTTCTTTAAAACAGCTCGTAAATGGAAACCAAATATATAGTAAATTCTCCAGTCATTCAACAAGTTGAGAACAGCTGCAGTAAATAGCCCAGGCCTGGGAGAGGTTTCTCTTGAGAATGAGAAAACAACAATGTGGAAACCCTGAGTTAGCAGACCGAGGTCCATTCCCGGGGGCGAGTCCATAACAACTGTGGCCTTCACACGCATGCAAGGCAGCTTGCAAATATTACAGAAATGACCATTCATATGGCAAGAGGAAAAAACAGGAAGAAAAAAAAGAGGAACCAACAGAAGTCTTTCCTAAGAACTGTGCCTCTGAAAGCAATGAAAAAGGGGAGGGGAAGCAGATGTAAAAAGAATTACGATGCGTTATGTTCAGGTACCAACTCCCTACAAAGAATACAATCACCATATCCTACAAACGTGTACTAATAAAAATAAAATTGAAATAAATGAATCAACAAAGTTAAGGAAATGGAAAAAGTGCATGTGCCTCTGTGTACAGATATTGTTACTTACAAATCACACAACCTGACCAAACACTCATGCACATCGCATTCACTCTATTTGTAGCTGCTATCAGGCACCTTCTGGGTACCACATTCTATGAGGACTGTTGCCACAAACTGAGACGTCTGCTTCCCTTCTTGCTAGAGGCAGCTCCCCATAGTGTGGTGGAGAAGGCACAGTGCAAATTTAGCATCTTCTGACCTCTGCTGTTCTTTCTGCTTTCCGCGTTGCTTGTGATGAATTCCCTCAGGCACTGCCATTCATTCTGCCACTGACCACCTCCAGCATTCCCGAGAGCAGCTCTCTGTTGGACACTGAAGGACAAGGGCACTTCCCACCTGCATTTCTCTGTCTCTTCCGCCCCAGAACACTTCAATACATCGCTGCCTCTCACTTAGTTTTCACAAGATAGTTAAATGGAGTCACTGGTACATAAGGACAAACATAAATGGAGTGATAAATATGATGCACTTGCCACAGGGCAAGAGGAAGACATTTTGAAAATTAAATCTTTCCAGTGGGACATTTCCACAGACCTGCTCCCAACATGCCCAGTTTCTCCTCACTCTACTCATTCCCAAAATTCCCCTTTTTAATTTCTCCTTCCTAACTCATTTCAGCATCACACACACACACACACACACACCACTTTGTATATCTGTATTTTATTTCTATATTGGTTTATATATATATATATATATATATACATATGTACTGAAATCCATGTGTTCACACCAATACTTCTAAGTTCAATTCAGTGCAACAGGGTTCATCTTAGTTTCCTCAATCTTCACATTTCTAACTTGTTTCTGTGACAGTAAGAAATCCGTTTTCATTATCTTTATCTCATTTGCTTATTTGATTCTGCAAGATCCCTCTCCTCACTCATTTTGGACTCTGACTCCACACAAAAATTGACCTCGTGCATTCATACCCTTTTCACTCTGCTTGATCCCAGACTCCCTGTACTTGTCCCCCTCCACATGGGTGTTCTCCTTCACCTTCAGAAACTGACTTCCTGCACCAGGCTGCCCTTTGTGGACACATTTCTCAATCCTTGTACCCGTCAGTATGCTGTACCATGCCAGTACCATGTGTGGACACCCATACCCCCGTGTGGTGGTTCTCAGTGCCAGAACACTGTCCTCCCACTGCAGTCATACTTTCCTAGCTTTTGGGGGCTCTGAATGCACTGTCTTGTCAACCACATGCCTGGCCGCGCTGATCCCTGCTGAGTTCTTACATCTTGCGCCAAACCACTGCTGCCCCTCACCCTACCACACACATTTACCTTACCATGTCAGATCCAATGCTTTATTTAGAACTGACACTTTTAAGCTTTTCATTAGTACTTGTTGCAGTACATAATGATTGCACTCATGGGGGGTTGATACACGTACATAGCATATCTTAATTATTTTTACATCCCTTCACCCTCTCCACCTCCATCTTTCAGCTGCCTTCTAATTTTCAAAAGATCTCCCTATGTCCTATTATCTATCTTTTATTTTACCTTAACTTCATTTATATTTCTGATTTATCCTATAAGAGAAACCATGTATTTAATTTTTTTGTTTCTGATTCATTTCACTTAACATCATAGCTTCAAGAAATACCATTTTCCTACAAGATCAGATATATCTTTCTTTATAATAGAGTAATTATTTTGTAAGGAAAGCAAAAAGAACATGACAATAAATAAGTGAAGGATAAGGAAATTGCAATTAATTTGTGGACCCAACAAATACTTGCTGTGGAGATGTGAGCAAGCATCTACCTTCCAATATCACATAAGCTCCTTATATTAAAAAATTGCACTACTGAGGCATGAACCCAGAAGCTTATATGTACTAGGAAAGCAATGTACCACAAAGCTACACCTACATAAACTTTCATTTTGTTAAATATTAGCGCAGGGTCTGAATAAGTTGCAGTGTTTGGGTTCAAACTTTTTATGCTTTTTGAGTAGCTTGAGTAGCTGCAAAGTAAAAAGTATTTTTAAAGTCAGTCTCTCTCTCTCTTCCTTTTCTCCTAAAATAACTCACATAAATGGATTTTACTGTGTCAGAAAAGAACTGCTCAGACAAAATGGCTTACAACATTTTTCCCCTTTTATTCACACCGAATGTCAGCTCGGGGTCAGTGTGGGCAGACTGTAACCCAGCTTGCCTCCTCTCCAAAGGTTTTCTCATTCTGGAGCCAGGATCTCAGAGTAATTCTCTGCATGACAAGTGATGCCATACCATTCTCCAAGAGATTACCCTTCATGCTGGGATTCCACTGTCCAATGTATGTCCCATGGATGAACCTGTGAAGGGGCAGAAATATACATGCTGAGTACAGGAAGGTATATCAAGGCCATCCTTGATTAACCCTTGTACTGAGGGTAGTATAAACACTTGAGAACAATAATACAATGCACTCTTGAGGACTGAATTATTTAATCATGAGGTATCTTGGGTAGTGATGTTAAAAATGGAGCTCAAGTACACTAAGTGGTATGAAAGGTGAACCACTGGGGACAAAGATAAAGTTCTAGAACTTTTGTTTATATTTACTTATGGTTTATGAAAAATAGTCTTTACTAATATCATAGGGACTCAATACTGGTTGTTCATTGCATGTGGTTGGGAACCATCAGGACGGAGGAGTGGAAGCTCATGAGAGGCTCACCAGGCACATTCGCCTCTTGATTCACTCTCTGCTCATGACGTCAGGCTGTAGTTCACCTGTAAGAAAGGACTCCTCTGGCCTCTGTCTCAGTTCCTGGCAGGTAGCCTCTAATTCTTTGGACTTTATGATCTACTAGGATGTCTTTTTATTCATGGTGAATGCTAACTCTATGCTGTCTCATGGTCACCCCTGAACAGTTCATGCTAACAAGATGATTCAGGGTGGAGTCTGACAATGTCGGGAAGAATAATCATATGATTAGAGTCATGAGGCCTAAACCACAGCACATCAGACAGACCAGGAAGGGATGCTGAACACTGAGTTCAACCTTATCAGCAGTGATTCCTTCAATGGTCTCTATGCGATGAACTCCAATAAAATCTCTCTGCACATAATACTCAGGAGATTTCTCAACTTTCAATTATCTGTGTATATTTGCACATTAAATGCTGGGAAAGTGACATATTCATGAAGTCAATGAAAGTTTCACATTTGGGACCCTTCTAGATCTCATATGTCTCTCTCTTTAGCTCTGAAATGTATCGTTGTAAAAAAGAATACTATAATCTCAAGTATAATAGAATCCTGAACTCATTGAATCATTTTAGAAAAGGGGTAAAGATGGGGTGAGATGGGGACCCCTAAATGTTTAGTCAGTGGATGAGGACTGCAGGCGTCACTGGGATCTGAAGCAAGTGGGATCTCGAGGAGAGCATGTGTTTCCCCTGTGAGATACTGCCCACTTGAGTTAGCTGCTGACACAATCATTGTAATGTCACAGTGTTGCTGATTTTATAAACAAAAGATATGTATAATATTTTGTAGCAAGATTGAATGTGATCATTTTAGTTACATGGAAAAATCACTTAAGTGAATTATTTTAGATACTGCTTTTTAAAAAGTATGTGCTCTAATTTTGCTCACTTTGTTAGTGCTATGGAAAGTTTTTTTGTGACTTACCAACTAGCAGATGTTAAAGTACACAAGGAGACACACTGTTCTGGTTTGTGTCTGGATGTCCCCCTAAAGCCTCATGTAGTCATGGGGTGGGCTTCTACAGTTTATGACTGATTCATGGTCCAATGTTGGAATTATGGATATGAGTGCTGTACCGGCCCTGAGGTGGGTAGTTTGCATACAAAGGAAGGGAGGGAAAGAGGCTGGTTGCCTCCACTCCTCCCTTGCGCTCTTGTTACCTTTGCTGTTTTCTGCCACTGCCATGAACTGTTGCCCTCTGCCACGTGCAACTCTGCCTTGGAGCCAGCCAAGGACTGAAACCTCCATAAACTGTGAGCTAAATAAACCTTTCCTTCCTTAATTTTGGGTGTTGAATATTTTGTCCCAGCAATGAGAAGAAAGTAACCGTGACACAAACACACACACACACACTCAAAATCTGTGATTTCAAGGTAAAGTGATTTCATAGTAAAATGGGATGTTTAACAATAAACGAGAAAGCAATAGTATTATAAAAGAAACATGCTATGGGGCAGTATTTGAAAAACTGAATTCAGAAAAAAATGTTATTATCACATTGCAGATTTTTTCTTTTGTCAAAAGTGATTCTGAGGCTGAGCCTCCTTAATTTTTGAAATTATAAAGTGAGGGGTTACGTGTAATAGTGTTGTCTCTCACTATTTACAATAATCTGTTCAAAATGATCAAAGATCAAAATGTAGAACATAAAACAAATAGAACAAAACCTAGAGGAAACATTCAAAGGCATCAAGAAGATCCCAAAAGCATAGACATCAAAAATAAAAATATGTTAGTGGGATTTTATGCCATAAGAGACTTCTAAATAGCAAACAAAAGAATAAAACATAGTCAGTGGAATGTGAAAAAATATTTGTAACTGTATCTAACAATGAATTAATATCCAGAACATATAAGGAATTCAAAATACTCAATGGCAAGAAAGCAAATCATTTAAATTAAAAATTGGCAAATCATCTGAATAAATATTTCTTAAAAATCCAAATATAAATTATAAAAATTACTAACAACCAGGGAAATGCAAATCAAA